GATTATTTAAAATGTTGGAAGTAACAGGATTCAGCTTTCAATCGATAAATAAGTAAAAAGCAGAAATAGGATGCATGCTGTTAAAGTGGACCAGCAGACGTTAAACACTGCTTTAACATTTATGATTGATAGTGTTTATCTTTCTAAGTAAGTCTTCCATGAACATGTTTAATTCTTCTATCCAATCAGCTTTTGTTTCAGCTCACATTGTTGTGTAGCTCTGTATTCATCAGGGTTTTAATAAACTGCTCTTACACAATGTTAGATTCATAATTTATCATAAACATTACATTTTGTAGTTTTATGGAAGATTCTCTCAGAAAGTTAACTTTCAGTTATGAAATTCACAAAGTTATAAATCAAGAATTTTTCTTTTCTTAAACTAAAAGCACATCTGATTATAGAAATTAAGTGTAGAATGGTCCTTTTTTTATTTAGAGCTTTTCACAAATAAATGGTAAATGGACTTGAGCGTGTATAGCGCTTTGCTAGTCTTCTGACTAATGAAGCTCGAGTGTAAGTTCAGTCAGAAAGACTATCATCACCTTCACGATTGGGTCTTTGTCATCTTTTTTGCACTTTCACTCACATTATCGCTGTCATTCTCGAGCTGTCCTTTTTGGGCTGTCATTGGATAATCAGCTGTCTCGTCAGCGGTACTCATCTAACCAATGGCATGGCGTTCCTCCCTCATTTTCAACCTATCATTGTTCTGCTCCCCTTTTAAATATCATTTTTTCCCTTCCTCAGTTCCTTCATGCTGTTTTGTACGCCCCTCCACCTCCCTAACACCGCCCGTCTTTGCAGAATCATCATCCATCAATTCTTCACCCATCTGGTCATATCAAGTCATCAGCTTCACCATAACCAGGGTCTGACTCCATGGGGGGGATTTATTCTATCGAGAATTGTCATTCTCCAAAAACATCAACCACCCCATAGAGTCCAAGCACCAAAGTATTTGTCAAGTCCCATTTCCATGTTTTTCATTGTAATAAATTATTTTCTGAATTCACTTGTCTCTCCTGATTTAACTTGAAGCGCTTTTACACCGCATGTCACACCTACCCATTCACCATTCACACACTGATGGCAGAGGTTGCTGTGTAAAGTGACCATCAGAAGTAACTAATCAAATTCATACACATTCATACGCCGCCGACAAAGCAGCAGGAACAATTCGGGGTGTAGTGTCTTGCCCAAGGACACATCAGACATGTTGTTGCAGGAGCTGGGGATCCAACTCTCAACCTTCCAACTGAGCCACAGCTGCCCCTTTAAACACCTTAACACATGCACCAATAGAAGAAGGGATCACTCTATTTAAAGGTCCACAAAAATAATGAAGTGTCCTGTGATTTTTTTGGCCTGTCCATTTAACTGTGAACATAATTTATAGCATATAACACTGGAATACTTTAGTGTTCTGTAAATAACTTATTATCCCTGTTCCAGCCTCTCTTTGAGGCTCTTTAATACCAACTAACCTGTTGCTGTCTAACCTAATTAATTATGACTTGTTCCACCAGGTGTTTTTTTTTATCATTTCACAGCTTTTCCATCATTCTGTTGCCTCTGTCACAACTTTTGTGAAATGTTTTGCTGGTATGAAATTCAAAATGAGCTAATCATTGTCCTAAAATAATTAGATTTCTCAGTGTGAACATTTGAATATGTTGTCTCTGTGCTGTTTTCTAATTAAATCTTGGATTTCAATGTTTTTGAAATCATCATATTCTGTATTTAATTTACATTTTACACAGTGTAGTTTTAGAAAATGGCTTGTAGGTCATTCATGAAACACTCTTACTCTTGTAGTTGATGAAGTCGTGCATAAGATCATGTATTCATTCATGATATTTAATTCAGCAGTACTATTGAGTTCAACCTTTGGAATAAATGGAACGTATTTACAGCCCTTTGTGTTGTTCATAAAATATATATATTTGTATGCCCTATTTTAACACAAAGGCAGCTACATATGGACTTGTAATAGAAACCTAGAGAGCAGAGCCTGAAGGCAACAGTGTGGTTAAAATAACCACACCTGGTTCAAACACAAGAGTTATGTAATACTATTTTCATGCATGCTAGCATAATAAGACCTACTTCTATATTTAGTCATAATTAACAATAATGGAATATGCTCTGAATGCTGCAATCTTCTCTGATTTGATTTGCTATAACTGGAGTAATGATACCACTAACTGCTATCAAACAGTCGTGTTTCTGTATTACGGTAGGTAAGGGAAGGCCTATATTTGTTTTTTTCTTGTTGTGGATCCGTTTAGAGAGGCTGAACACATCTACATGTCACAGGCATGGTTTGAATCAACTGTCATTGCAGAGTTGTAGCAGGGCTCATGGGGAGAAAACTGCTGGATGTTATCAATGCATGTCTCTATATCTGGAGGCCATGGGCTTCATATCCACTGTGACAGAAACAGGACCTTACAGAATCAGGGTTTTTCTCTCTTGTGTGCAGGATGAAAGAGCTCTGGGCTGACATGGCTGTGTGCCTGTCACTGTGTCTGACATAGGAGCGGACCTTCAGCACCACACAGCTCTGATTTACAGCCAGTGAATATTTTATACAGAGCCCACTGTGTGCAATCAGTCACAGAAGTGACAGGCGGTCAGACTTGAATTTAAACACATCATAGATTTCTATAGAAGTTCAAATATCCTGTTATAATTCTAGGTTCATGGTTGATATGTAACACATTGAAATAAAAACATTATACTGAAGTAAAGCTTATGCAGGACTCATGATGATTGAATGCATGAACTGATGCAGGGTTTAATCGTAAATTCATGTTGATTATCACTAACAAATGAACATGTCACACTGACCTTATGTGTTTAATCCTTCATCATTAAGTAAGGAATTTTCACACATTTTTGCAAACACAGCTTGAAACAAAACTAACATTAGCACATTTCTCATTTATTAATGCTTATAAGCATATTCATGGTATATTGACCCCTTTTGAGTCATTTAGTTATTTTGATTAACTTATACTCAGGTCTGTTTTCTACAACCGCAGGCGGGGAGGGGGGCAATGAGAAAGGCCTGTGCATGTCTTTCTTTATTCTGACAAATTTATTTGATCGAAATGTTGCAAAAAATAAAAAATATTTTTGCATATAGAAATTGTCTACTCTTCATTGATATTTACCATTTTATTGTTACAACACATATGTTCAGCATGATTGTTTGTGAAGACACAAAAATACAGAACACAGAGCAAGACGAAACTCTGAGTTGGATGAAAACAAAAAAATCACAAAGCTTTTAATGCTTTGCATCGTCATTTGTTTTACTTTGCACAGCTTTGTTCAGACATTGATACACTGTTTGATCATTTCTAATATACTGGAGATTTTATTACGTTAAACAGGAAGAAGAATCTTATTCCTCCAATTTGAGAACTAAATTTTGTCAAAAACCCCTTTACCCCATTATACCTGCTTATCCTAAACAGCTAAGAGAAAGTAAAACTACATTGAACAGCAGGTTGCACTTCAAAAGGTTTTTAAGTCTGAGTGACATCATTTGTCAACGTGAGCGACACAAATTCATGATGCATCTACACTCATTCATGCATAATATCATCATGACGCATTCATTACAGAAAGATAACTTGAGTGCCACCCCTTTCTTGCCTGTTTTCAGTCAAATACATCCTGTTTTTACTTTGATATAGTCTCTTTTCTTCCTTATCTTTTAATAAGGAAAAGTGAGAATTTTCCCTTTAAATGTACTTTGTTGTCCTTCTTTTGTCCAACTCAGAGAAGATTCAAACATTATGAATGTATGTGATTTGTACTGAGCCCTGCAGTCTGAAAAAAGTTGTTTTTTTATTATTAATTTTTTGGGACTTCAGGGGCTCCGAAGATTAGTATACAGATTAACTCTATTGACTATCTAAGTCCAAATGTACTAATTATACTTTAGGTCACTTGTATAGGTGTAAGGAAAGCTTTTGATGCATTTCCAAAAAGTGAACAAATGTCCAAAATGAAATTACTTTGGGTGAAGTTCCCCTTTATTGCAAAAGATGAAGCAGACAAACCGTGATGATGATATTAAGTGATGAATGATTGTTGCAAGACTATAATTGTTCATTCACAACCGCATGTTCCCAGCACATATACCACCAACTTCCTGTTCGCTATTGACCTATAAACAACTGACGAAACCACCTGACCAATTAACCCCAATAACCATTATGTCCAAATTATGTAAATAATTCAATAGACCTACATAATTATACACACCAAATTGACATTTACATTCCTTAGTAAATTAATATACATTATTTAAATAAATAATCGTTTTTATAGTGCAGCTGAAAACCAGTTTAATTTATGAGCGACTGCCTGTGTCTAAAGTTATGTGTTTTGTAAAACTGAAATGTAGATAATTTGGTCACATATAGCAACAGGAGCTCATGAAACACCCAATTAATTAAATTTATCATCACCACTCATGCATGGCCAAGAATGACTCAAGTCATTTACAATTTTGTAATATTGTTGTGCTTTTTATTTTCAGTGAGGAACCATTATAGCCTTTTTTAAATGATCTTGCCTGTTTTTAAACCACAACACAGCTTATAGTTTCTGTGATGTTGCTTCTTGACATTTTTCCATCCTTTACTTTTATAAAACGTGCCTTTAATTTGGCTAAATAAAGATGTCTCCTTTAACATTTGCCTTGTTGCTTGCTCCGTTTTCTGTCTCACAGCACATAATAGGTCTGGAGGCTGCTGGTGTTTTCCTATCTGAGTCCACAGCTGCTGCTTACCTACAGTATAAAGCCACAGTAGTAAAAAAGCCTCCCACAACGTGTCAACTATAAATTCTTGCCTGTGTGAGTGATGCTTTCAGTAACTATGGAAACCTAATATAATACACTCCTCCTCCCTCTCTCTCTCTCTCTCTCTCTCTCTCTCTGTCTCTCTCTCTCTCTCTCGGTGTACGTCTACGTCTCTCTCCCTCTCTCCATCCACACCAAAGCTCTTTTAGCTACTTTGCGCATGTACGGCCAGTCGAACCGAGCATTGCATCGATTCCAAGATGGCGAAAACACGTCTGGCTTGCCTCCTGACTCTCCTCTCAACTCACTGTAAGTACAAATAATCATCATAAGTGGCTCTTATTCTTCCGTTTCCCCTTTCTGACCGTCAGAAGACATTTACTTCTCCGCCTGTTTAGTCGAGATTTCACCCCGGCGTCGGGCGTAAAAATAGACTCCGACTGAGAAGTAACCCTATCTGGATGCAACTAACGTTAAACTCAAGGCTCACTTACAGTACGACCTGCCTTTTCCATCGTTTGGCAAATATAGTTTATAAATATGTTCACAAATGCAAAACAATAGTCGCCATTTTTGTTACAAATTAGCCTACTGTTTACACGACTCGCTTCAAATTCATCGCCATGCTCCTTCACCGTTAAAGTAGAAGAGTTTCTGCTGTTTGTGATGTAATATTGTTAAATTGTCATATATCGATATATGTGTGTAAATATATCTAGAATAAAGTTCAGTTATCGGAAGATTTTTTTTTTTTAGTCAACGCTAAGCCACCACGCTTTTTGTCTCCGACTCTGTAAAAGTTTCTCAAGTTTGGAGCGACTTTCTGAATTAAATATGAATAAGTGCGGTTTCTCAGCCCATGTTGTTAACTATTTAACGTCGGGTTTTTTGAGTCGTGATAGTGGCTGAGATGCTTGAGAGAAGTGATGCGAGATAACGGGTTTTTTCTCCTGCGGCGGAATAAAGCAGGCTGTCCGCGGGAGGAGCCAGGCAGCCAGCCCCCCTCCTCTTCACCCTCATCCCGCTACTGCACATGAACATACAATCAAACATTTCACTTTCTTTAGAGGAAAAGCGAAGTTAAATGTTTGACTGTATGTCTCTTTATGTGGTTATTTATGAATCATTTAGTCAGCAGGTTAGAATAAGACGATTGGTTTCAGATCATCCACTTGTTGCTGTGCTCCGTCGCCCTTTGTTGAGTCAAGTGTTTTGCCCTCCGATCCTGAAACTATTATCCCAGCTTAGTTTTGATAAAATCAATGCAATGTAAAACTCCATTTTATGTATAGGCCTGTAATTAAGATAGATAAAATCTACAAGAAAAAAAAGGTTGCTTTTAGTTCACATGTTTTACCTTATATTACTTCAGCCTTACAGACAGCAGCTAGCCTACATCCATGGATTTTGACAACCAATGGTTCTGCTTAAATGTAGGAAATGTTTTTAAAAAATATCATCATTAGGGCATTTGAAGCTGTTGGTTTGGCCCAGTCTTTGATTTTTCTTTGGTAATAATTTCACCTCAGAGTTTGCCATGAATTGGTGCTTGTATTTCTTTAGTTTCCCCCTTTGAATTAGGCAAGGTGTGCGAGAGGACCGACTTACGGATCAAAGAGAGGCACAGACATAAGACCTTCCTGTGATCTCTCATGTGTGTGAATTGGCTTATTCTCTGTGCCTTAATTAGGGAAAAGAAATGGAGCTTGTTGAAAATCTGTTGCTGTACTATCAACACTGTCTCTCTTTGACTTTTCTCTGGGTGTGTGCTGATTATTTTATTCAGGCGATACATTTCAAAGTCAGTCCTCTTAATGATGTTCCCCTGAGTAAATCTGTGACAGGCCATGGTAGCAGCACTATTGACATTTTGTGTGGGTGGGGGAAGTGAGCTGGGGGAAGATTTAAGAATGTCTTTTGTGTTGCTGGACAGGTCTTCACCATGTGGTCGACTGGCTTACAGCCAGCATCTCCACTGCCTTTAGACACATTCAAATCTGGCTAGACTAAAGCTGGCCACAAGCTGTGTTATGATACTTTCTTCTCATAGCTACTGACTGTAATTAGACTGCTTCTTGTATTTGAAAAATATCTGCTCCACATTCAGGTTCTGATGTTTATAGCGATTAAGAAATTCAGGAAAGGAATGAGTGTGTTGTTGCTTTAGCTTCCTGTTGTTGGTCACACTCTGTGTTGTGTGCTTGTTATTTTATATTCATGACATTCTTCGGGTAGCTATCATCCTAATGGCCACACAATCCCCAGCCGTTTCCAAGTGAAGGCTGCACCCAACATAAGTGAACCGAGCTGCAAATATCAGCCCGGTCGTCTGTCAGCCGAGCCAGAGACGAGGGCCTTTGTTATTTTAAGTACACATGCTCACAGCGGACTTTCCATCCTGATCTAATGGAATGCATTAACATTTTCCATTGTTGGCTTCACCTGAGCCATTTCTCATAAAATATTCCAGAAAGTGGTACGCACTCAAAGAGGACATCTGCGAGGATCCCTCCTTGCCAAGAGCGTGGCCAAGATATGTGGGAGGTTGGAAGATGCTCAAAGTAGATTAGTACTGAGCAAATATAAACTTTGAGATCACAGCTTTGACTCTTATAAGAAACACCTGTGGACATCCAGCCTGGACACACCCTTTATTCCTGCATTTTTTAAATTGTGTGGAGTAAGAGAAGCAACTTTGATCATTTACTTAAAAAAATGAGAAAAAAACGACTTGGTAAAGATCAGGCACAGAAGCTGCTTGGTTGGGGTATAGGTTAAGATAAGTACCAACTTGCTCAAGACCAGACCTAAAAAGGAGTCGACTACTGGTTTGACACATGAATTTGACCACTAGTCTCCTGGATGAATGATCAGACTAATTCACTACAGAACAGCATCCACAAGAGATGGTAGAGGAAAACCTGCAGCAGCATAATTTGAAGCTTTGTGCAACTATCTAAGCTGTATTTGATCGTTTTAGAGTGAGAGCTGGCCATTGAGTTTCAATTATTGGTAATACCTGAAGGAATTTGAAAGAATGCAGATACGTTTGACTCTATTAATCAGCTGTCACACATGCTCAAGTGTTGATATCAATCCCTCTCACTAGGAAACCGACATTTTTATGACTTGACATTATCTTTGTTTTCACTCATGGCTGTCAGCCTAATCTAATCAAACCCTGTCTCTATCTGAAAGAATAAGATAAGAGAGAAAGCTGTCCGCTGTAGATATCTGCCAAGCCTCCCCCTGTGTTCTCTCCGCTGATAAGCCGTTGCATCACCCGGAGATCTTTAAACATCCGTTTTTAACCCACACATCATCGGACTGCTCACAGGGTGACGTTACCCAGCCCACTCTCAAAACATTTGTCTAAACCAGAGCCAAGTGTCGGCACTTTTCTCTGCGTTTGGTATGTGTGCCATAAAGGTTTGGCATGGCAGGAGTCATAGGTCTCCCAAGATAACTGCACATAGTGGCTCCCTCAGGAGGAGCATGTTGTCAGATGTTTCACTACACACCCAAAACTTGTGAGCAAATGTTTGGAGCGCTCTCTGAATGGCATGTTTAGCCCCTGTGGCCAAGTCCACTACAATCTGGCATTTGACGACACAGACAGTAAATAACAGAGAAAAACAAGGATGGACAAACATAGTATTTTGATTTTAGTTCAAAGGTTCCCCTCTTTAGTCACCCCTGGATCCAAGCGAGGTGTCATCTGTGCAAAACATCCATCTGAGGTGCCATTTGGGTCCCATGTCAGACAAGGATTTCTGCCATTATAGTGGGTTTGTTGTACTTCAAAAAAAAAAATGTTGTAATCATTTTTTCTGCCATCACTGCAGCCAGCCATGTGGATATATGTGTGCCAGAACAGCCCCTCCATGGGATAAAGTCAAAGTAGCACATGGCCCTCACTGTGGAATGACCCGAAACAGCTGAGCAGGCGTGGGTGGGTGTTGGTGTTTTGAGCCGCGTCGCAGGCGTAACCAGAAATATCTGCTGCGTCCCTCCCAAACCTGAGTGTGCGTGTTAGCAAATGCAGCATTCCTAACAGAAAACACATGGAGGCTTCTCCTCCTATGTGCACTGACTAACAATCAGAACCACCTGTTTCCCCGAAGAGATAAAAGGGAGCCCTGTTGATGAGCTGGCGGAGGTCAGAGCAGAAAAGGGGGGAGTTGTGAAGAAAGCTCAGCAGTGTTCACAACACGAGCTGGGTGCGACGATACATCTCTTTACACAGAAATCCATTTTCACTTGACACAGAGGAGGATTCAGCTTTTCTGTTTAGAGCACATGCTGAGGTCGAAAAAGCAAACAATAACATGCTTACGCTCCCAAAATGGCTACGGCATGTGCGTGCTTCAAATGTCAATAAGACTTTCGTGTGAAAGAAGCCGTGGTCATAGAGTAGAACTAGCCTGCAGGCGGCACACACTCACCTAAATCTCCATATGAAAATATTATAATGGTCTGGGTGTGGAGAAGGAATGTTTCTGCTAAAACAGTGTATCAGATGTGCAATCTAAGGCTCGGACAAGAGCAGGATTCATGAGAAAAAAGGGAGTAATTGTCGTCTTGTTTGGTTAAATGAGCTTTAGGAAATGATGGCTAAGTGCTTGTTTGTTTTGAGAAGACATTATTATTGGATGTTTAGGCTCCTTTAGATCAACAGGATAATCTCAAGACGCCTGTGTGCTGGCTGCCTGAGCATAGGGCAGCTCAGGAGAGGTTTCCTGTTTGATGATCTTTATCTGTGGTCACACAGTCCCTGGAGGGAAGAAAGCAGTCCTCCCGCTCATGTATTCACTGGATACTGACGGAGTGCATCAATAGGTCAAAAGAGACTGCCATCGATCAGACATCGGGATGCTGTCAGCTTAGTGAAATAATGAGGGGTTTCATTAACGTCACTGCACAGGCAGTGAACTACATGTGGCTGAGCCGCTGTCGCTATGAAAGGAAAGAGCTGGAGGCTGCGCTCCCACTGAGAGTCATAACCAGATAATCGCTCCGGATTCATCTTTTGTTTACCAGGCTGTAACAAAAGGGCAATTACCATCTAAAAATATCCACGAGGCAGAGTCATCCGACGACCTCAGGTGTTTGATCACAGCTCATTCTGAACCATCAGGCCCACCAGTAACAACATACATTGTGATAATCATTGTGGAAACATCACACACACAGTAGCCGAACAACATCTCACACAACTTCCTATTTTTTTTATTGTGCCATTTTCCAGCCCCAGGATGTGTTTTATTGAAATGTGAACAGTATTTAAATGCAGACGGCTGCAGGAGATT